GGGTGGGAGACCAAATAGGAAGGAGTATATATACTGAGTTAGATTGAATGTATTGATAGCGTTCTGGATTTAATCCTTTAGGTGCATGGACGGGACTCTAACAGGTTAATTATCCTGGTTGGTGACCCTCACACACAGTGAGCTTACACTCTAACCAGGGGCGGAGTAGGCTAGAACTTTTGTGGAATGCCGGAGAGGAAGGAGTCCAAAGGCTTAAGGAGAAGAGGATGTTGGTGTGAATTTTTCAAGTATGACCTGCTCCCCACCGCAGAGGATACCCCCTCCACTAAGGCTTTGAGAAATTTGAGGAATGCATAGTGAGAGGGGGTCCCTGATAAACTCTAAGGTGGTCCTCTGTAAGGGGGTTGTGACAGAGGAGTCACTGCCCGAGATGGGCTCTTTATCTCACCGGGCAGGACGGGATCCCAGAGGGCAGGATCACATTTCTACTGAGTGGCAGAACTTAACCACTTGAGACAAGGTAGGCACGCTTGCCGTCATGGACAGAGTTGGGATGAAGGGGCACAACGGCTCATCCTGGAAGGAACTTTGATGATGGCTGGTTGATTACGGTTTCCCTAGGGATAACTTAGAAGGACAGCCTTCTATTTTTTTTTAAGATTTTATTTACTTATTAGAGAGAGAGTGAGCACGAGCAGAAGGAGAAGCAGGTTCCCCGCTGATCAGGGAGCCCGATGCGGGGCTCGATCCCAGGACCCTGGGATCATGACCTGAGCCGAAGGCAGATGCTTAACTGACTGAGCCACCCAGGCGCCTCTGAAGGACAGCCTTCTAAAGGTTCATTTTCTCCCTCTCTCTATTTTTATAAGAGGAGAACTTCTGGTCTGTAACCAGAAACCTAACTCGAGTCACCACAGTGGAAAGGCATAGCCACTTAACCCAGTTTCCAGACCCAACTTTCAACACTGCCTCCCGTAGGTACTGTAGATATTTCTCCATGTCTTCCTCAAAGGGATTTGTGTCCATTTACTAGAGCAGTTGTGTCCAGAGCAAAAGGAAGGACCTGAACTTTTTAGCGCTTTCTAGATACCAGCTCTGAATTGATGTTAATATCTGAGGACCCAAAATGCCTGTGGCCCACCAGTCCATGGGTGGGCTTATGATAGTCAGGACATTTGGCTACTGTTCAAATTATACTGTGCCCAGTAGTCTGGAGACCCATGCTTGGTTATTCCCTCAGTTCTTGAATTCATAATCAGAGGAGATGTATTTGGCAATTGGCAGAAGCCACCCATTGGTCCCTTGACCTGTGAAGTAATGGCTGTCATGGTAGGAAGGGCCAAGTAGAAGCCCATAGAATTTTCCTTCCCTACCAGAATAATAAAGAAAAAGGCATACAGCATCTCTAGGGGGGAGTTGGAGAAATTAGTGCTGGCACCAAAGACTTGAAAAAATGGAAGCGTGGAGAAACTTCACACATCCCCATTTAACTTGCCTGGGTGGCCCGTGCAGAAGGCAGCTTTATTTCAGAGAGTGACTTTGATTATTGTAAACTTCATGAAGGGGTGATTTTAGCTGCTATTCAAGGTGTGTCTTTATTGAAAATAATCAACATAGCCTCCAGCTCCTGTTAGGCAACCTTTGGTCTGGCAGGTACTTTCTTTCTGAACCACTTTGCAGGGATTACAGAAGCAGGTTGCTTTTACCTGGCATGGCCGACAGTTTACATCCCTGTCTTACCTCTGTTCCATAGATCCCCCTGCTCCCTCTCATCCTTTGTTCTGCAATATCGTGATCTTACTGATATCCCTCAGCACGGCAGGCTGGTCCAGTACATTGACCTGATAAACAGCAAGGGACAAGTACTTTAGATGCTTCAGTAAGACGTCTTCAATCCAGGAGGTGGGAGATAAACCCCATTCTTGCTACCAAGTAATGTATTGGTTAGTGTCCAGACAGAGAAGAGAAAAACACATTAACTACCCTAACAGAGAGAATTCGCTATGAGGAATTAGTTAAGGGGGTCTGGGAGGATTGTGGATGTACGGAAGCGAGACTGAGAGATCAGGGGTGGTAAAAGCAGGAAGTGGCTACCACACCTCAGGCTGGAGTGACAAAGGAGAGAGGATGGGGGTATGAACATCTAGGAGTTGGAGGAGAAGGAGAAGGGACCCAGACTTCTGAAGCGCACCACCAGGTCGGGGCTGTCACGTCTGAATTTTGTCATCCAGGGCTTGTTCTGGAAACGAACCAGCGGCTGCGGTGATGCAGACTGGGGCAGCAAGCAAAGCTGGAAAGAGCCGTCTTCCTACTGTCTTGCTTCCCTCTTAAGTGGGGTGATAAAAATTGGAGAGATCTAGCTTGGGAGATGGGGTGTTTCTCTGATACACCTGAATGTGGGCTCACAGTTGATGGAGTGGGAGTTGGAATCACGCAAACTGGTCACCTAGCTGTGTCACCTTGGGCCATGCTACTCAACCTTTCAGAGCCTCAGCTTTTCATCTTTAAAATGTGGCTGGGACGCCAGCGTGCCTCAGTCGGTTAAGCGTCTGACTCTTGATTTCAGCTCAGGTTATGATCTCCGGGTCCTGGGATCAAGCCCCACATCGGGCTCCAGGCTCAGTTCGGAGTCTGCTTGGAACTCTCTCTCCCCATCGTCTTCTGCCCCTCCCCCCTCTCACACGAGCTCGCTCTCTCAAATAAATAAATAAAAGTTCTTAAAAATGTGGCTCATCCCCGCCGTGCAGGATTGTGATGAGGATTGAAGGAAACCGTATAACAGCACTAGCGTGTGCCTGATCAGTTCCCCAGGAGGCTGTGAGGACGAGGTGATGCTCAGAGCTTTTGCAGGAGCGGTGTGGAGGCAGTCCCCAGGTCAGGAGCAGCTACCAGGCTGGTTTGTCACTGGCAGTGTTTTTAGTTTTCCATCTTCCTATTTGAGAGGCAAGTGACGAATTGGAGTGTGGAGCATGGTTTTTGGTGTCAGATGGGGTCTAAATGTCAGTCTTACTTATTGGTCTTGCATATTTCTTAATTACGTGGCTCTGTGGACCTATTTTCCCAGGTCTAAACTCTCAGAGCTGTTGTGAGAAATTGCAGTGATGCCCATGAAGTGTCCTGCCCTGTATCTGACACGCAGGAGAGACTCAGTGATGCCGCTGTTTTTACCCATGTGGTCTTCGTATTGTAGAATAATTGTTTGTGGAAGGAACGGGTAAAGCAGCAGTCTCATATGTGGGGGGCATATATACAAAGGCAAGCATTGTAACTTATTTGAAGGCTTAAAAGAATAGACATCCAATAAGTTTTCATAAATGGTATTGGTAATGATTTAGTAATATGTCTGAAGCTTAATTTATTATCCAATAAATATGGTGGCTATATTATAATTTCCTGCAAGTTAGATGTACAAGGTTGTTGATGAATTTTATAATGGAGAACACAGAGTGGGTTTCAGGGTATTGAATACTTTATAAGAGATAGTAGATTAAAAATAGTTTACTGTTTTCTTACATTTGGGGGAGTTAAAATATATTTTAAAGCCTTTAGTCTATCATTAAGCAGAATTAGGCAAGGGGAGAAAGAATTAAAATAAACAGAGTTGGATATGAAAAGAACAGCTGTGCCAGAAAATGAGACATTGTATATGTCCAAAACTACCAGTTATATGCAGCTTCAGAAACAATGTCATGATGGCATTAGCCATTTGGGACTGAGGTAGACAGTTCTAATATACTCCAATGAGTTAGTGACCATCATTTTCCTGTTATCTATACTAACAGGTTATAAATCCATTTTAATTAAAAGTAGTGAACAACACTTTGTGATACTACTTCAATAAGCATAACCCCATTTCTAATACATTATGGCTTTGACACCTTTGAATTAAAAAATGATCTAACTTTAGCAGGAGATGAAGGAAATTGACTATTATCTGGTGAATTTAGGTTGTGTGCTCAATTTGGATAAATCAGATCTCAAGATGGATTTTGCACTCTATCAGAATATTAGCTGTGGGCACGGCCAGTGTTCAACGGATGATTTCCAAATCTACACCTCCCTTCTTTATAGGCTGGAGACTTCCTGACGGATGCAATGAAGTAAAATCTCCTGTACATATACATTGGAAACATTCACAGCTTTTAAATGGGTGAAACCATGACTAGACAATCCCTAAAATTAGAAGATTCAGTGAAGCTGTTTAAATGTTTTTTTTTTTTCTTTCTTCTTGGCTGAAGCCCTTTAGAATTACATGTTGGGTTCAGCCAGATACATTTGGATCTTGGGGTTTTTTTCTTTAAGAAAAGTAACTCATGTATGCTAACTAGTGCTTGAAGGAAAGTTTCCTGATCCTTTTAGAAATATGCCAAGGAATATCAGTAGAATATGAGTTCCTCTCATGCAAGGAAAGAGGCTGTGCATTTTAAAATAGTGATTTCCTCTAAAAATTTCCTTTTAAACATTTCCTCCTCTGTGCAGATCATGTATAAAATGGCTTTTTTTTTTTTTTTTAGATAGGAGGAAGTCAAATGGATATGAACTCTTCTGCACTAAAGAAATCTTTTATACCTCGAGTGGTGCCACTGAGTGGCATGAGGATCACAGAATCATAGTCCCCAAGGACCGGAGGGGACCTTGGGAATCATCTGGTTGACCACCTTATTTTACAGATGAGATGCAGGCAAGCAGTTTGCCCACAGCCTCTCTGTGCTGATGGCATGCCCATGACAAGAAACCAGGCTTCCTGATGCCAAGTTAATGTGCCTTTTGCAATCTTGGTGGCCCTCCATATGTCCTTTTTTTAGCACTTGGACTTTTTGGCATTTGCTGAATTTGCACATTTTGTTAAGTAGAAAATGACTAATTTTTTTAATGCATGAATAATTGAGGTAGAAACAATAGTGTGTTACAAAAATATTTGATGACAGAACTTGAACAAAATTGATTCTCAGTTAATAGCCCTCTTTTACTCATAATAAAAAATGAAGTGTCTGACTATGTGACCAAATGGCTTATAGCAAATATTTTTGGCCTTTTAGAACAGAAGAATCTATAACGGAAGATGACAAGAGGAGGTATGTTTGACATTGAAGCTGGCTTTAATTTGAATAATTTTGGCCATCTTCATGGATTAATTTAACGAATGGATGTAATTTAACATTGTATGTAGTACATTACCAATAACATAGATTACACCCGGACAACTTCTGGCACAGAGAATACAGGTAGGAGCGTGTGATCTGAAAAAGGACTTGCTCAGGGTTCATAATCTTTGCCTTCACGCAAGCTTGGGTTTTGTCCTGTGCTCATGGCCTGTGCTGGTTTCTGTCCTGTGGCCTTTGGATGTGCTGTTCTCCCTAACGGATGACTTCGTTCATTCTCCCTGCCCACTCCACTCTCCCTCTCCTTCTCTGGTGGACTGCACCCTACTCTCATTACTCCTTAGCTCTCTCTCTGCTCCTTTTATGTTTGTATCTACCTCCAGGGAAATGTTCTGTGTGTCCATAGCACCTATTACCACATTGACCACTATGAATTCTTGATGAATATTGACTGATTAACTGTAACATGTTACTCTGTGGATATTTATTACTGTACTAAATTATAAAAAAATCCCAATCTCTTTTCCTCTTTCTCATTCCAAGTTAAATATCTAAAAATTCTACTCACTCAACTTAGCTTTCTTTTTTCATATAGAGCTTCTTTAACATGGAAAAAATTATATTTCCAAGGGCAGTAATGTTCCAAATTCTACTTTTGAAAAGTCATGAGTTATTTTAATAGTTCTATAATTGTTGGCAGTACTCCATGCTTCTATCACTTTCTGCAAATATAGAGTATCATTGATATTGGTCTGATTTTTCTCTCTCTGCTTCTTTTCATTAAGAAACTATGGAGGGGTATATGTAGGTCTACCATCTGAAGCTGTCAATATGGTATCCAATCAAACAAAGACTGTACGAAAAAGTAAGTAAAATCATGAGATTTACTTTCTCTAAATATTTATCTTTTTGTTTTTTGAAAAAAAATATAAAATTTATATTTCAGCTTGCCTGACTCAACCTACATATTACTCAGTTGCAGTTAACCATGTAGAAAAACCATTATCTGTTCACTGTAATCATTTGTTGAAATTGCCACCTACATGATGAGAGTAGTTCCAGAGCAAAATTTAGCTTCTATTTGTGGCTATGTTCCATGGATGAAAAAAGTTTTTCTCCATGGATAATTTAAATTTATTGTTAATTTCAGTGACGATCGGTATGACAATGAAAGCAAATGTTTCAGTAAGTTTATGGAGTTTTTGTAGAAATAAAGGTAAATTCTTATAACATATTCCTGTAATATACAGATAACAGTCTGAGGATTACAGGAAAATCAACTGCATATTGTATAATTAAATGAAGTGAGGCCCCTTTTTGTTTCAACAAGTAGTAATTGTGGGGCTAATGTCATTTTTTTTTTTTTTAA